CTGCCCGTCTGTCCCTCAGCCCCTGAGCCCTTCTACAGCCCTACCCATGTACCCCTGAACCCCTATACCTCTGGCCTCTGTCACTCTGAGTGACCTCTGTCACTCTACCTCGAACTACTAAACTCCTGTATCCTCTAAACACCTACACTCCTCTTCCCCTGAACCCCTCTAACCCTGAGCCCGTTTGTCTCTGAGCCCTTCTGCCCCTCTGCCCGTGAGCCCCTGAGCCTCTACACCTCTACCCACCTATCCCTGAATCCCTCTACCCCTGAACACTTCTGCCCCTGACCCCTGAACCCCTAAGTCCCTCTACAACTGAACCCTTCTACCCTGGAAACCCTCTGCCTCCGAATCCTTCTGACCATCTGCACCTCTGTCCCTCTACCAATGAACTCCTGAACCCCTCTACACCTGAATCTTTCTACCCCTCTAGCCCTGAAACCTTCTACCCCTGAACCCCTCTGCCCCTGAACCCCTCTACTTCTGGACCTCTGAACTTCTGAACCACTTGACCTCTCTACCCCTCTACCCCTTAACCCCTCTACCCTGAACCCTGTACCTCTCTACCCCTCTACGCCTAAACCCTTCTACCCCTCTACCCCTGAACCACTGGACCCTTCTATCCCTCTACCCCTGAGCGCCTCTACCCTCTACCTCTCTACCCTTGAACCCCTATAAAATTCTACCCCTGTGCCCCTGAACCTCTCTACCCCTGGACCCCTCTATTTTTGATTCCCTGAGCCACTCTGCCCCCTGCCTCTCTACCCCTCTGGCCTTCTGTGACTGAGACCCTCTGCTCCTGAACCCCTAGGCCCTTGAGCCCCACTGTCCCTCTGCCCTTCTGCCCCTCTTCCCCTGAGCCCCTCTGCCCCTGGGCCCCTCTGCCCTTGAGCTCCTGAGAAACTCTGGCCCTGAACCACTGAGCCCCTCTGCTCCTGAGCCCCTCTACCATTGTGCCCCTGAGCCTCTATAACCCTCTACCCCTCTTCCCCTGAAACCCTCTACCACAGAACACTCTCCCCTCTACCACTGAACCCCTAAACTCCTCTACACCTGAACCCCTCTACCCCTGAGCTCCTCTACCCCTAAACTCCTCTGCCCCCATCACTCTACCCCTGAATCCCTGGACCCCTCTACTCCTGAACTTCTCTACTCCTGAACCGCTGAACCCCTCTACTCTGAACCACTCTACCCCTGAACTCCTCTTCCCCTCAGCCCTTTGTCTCTCTTCTCCTGAACCCCTGAACCCTTCTCACCCTGAGCCACACTACCTCTGAACCCCTCTAGCCCTGAACCACTATACCCATGAAACCCTCTACCCCTGAAATACTGAACCCCTCTGACCCTGAACCCCTGAAATCCTCTGACCCTTTTCCCTTTAACCCCTCTGCCTCTGAACCCCTGAATTTCTGAACACCCTTGACCTCTCCACCCATTTACCCCTTTACTCCTGAACCCCTCTATTCTTGAACCCCTGACTCTACCCGTCTACCCACTGCCTGTTCTGTCCCTCTGCGACTCTGCACCTGAGTCCCTGATCCCTTTAAGCCCTGAGCCTGTGTGTCCTTGAGCCCCTGAGCCACTAAGTCCATGAGACCCTCTGCCCCTGAAACCCTCTGCCCCTGAGCGACTCTACCCCTCTGCCCCTCTACCCAGGAGACCCTCTGTTTCTGAGCCCCACTGCTCCTCTGCCCCTGAGCCCCTCTGCCCTTCTGTTCCTGAGCCCCTCTGCCCCTTTGCGCCTAGCACCTGAGCCCCTCTGCCCCAAAGCTCCTATGCCCCTGAGCCCCACTGCAGCTCTGCCCCTGAGCCCTTCTGTCTTTCTGCCCTTCTGGTCCTCTGCCCCTAAGACCTTCTGACCCTCTACCTCTCTGCCCCTGAGCCCCTGAGCTGCCCCTCTGTCCCTTATCTCTTTTCCCTGAGGCCCTCTACCACTGAGCCTCTCTGCCTCTCTTCCCCAAAGCCCCTCTACCCCCTGTCCCTTTGCCCCTCTGCCCCTGAGTCCCCCTGTCCCGGTGTCCCTCTAACTCTCTACCCCTCCACCCCTGAACCCCTCTACTTCTGAACACTTCTGTCCCATATAGCTTATCCCCTAAACCTCTCTACCCCTGAACTGTACTACCCCTGAAGCCCTCTATACCTGAACCCCTCTGCCCTTGAACCCCTCTACCTCTCTGCCCCTGAACCCCTCTAACCCTGAATCACTTTACACCTGAACCCCACTACTCCTGAAACTCTCTACCCCCTGAATCCCTAAACCCCTGAACCCATTTACCTCTCTACCCCTTTAACCCTCTACCCTGAACCACTCTACATCTCTACCCCTGAACCCCTCTGCCCCTCTGCCTTTGAATCCCTGTACCTCTGAACCCCTGAACTTCTGAAACCCTTGACTTCTCTATCCCTTTACCCCTGAACCCCTCTACCCCTCTTACCCCTGAACCCCTGAAACACTCTACCTCTGTACCCTTGAACCCCTCTGCCACTCTGCCCCTGAGCTTCTGACCCCTTTAAGCCCTAAACCCATGAGCCCCTGAGCCCGTCTACCCCTGAGCCTCTCTGCCCCTCTGCCCCTCTGTCCCTGACCCTCTGCTCCTGAGCCTTTCTGCCCTTCTCCCCCCTGCCCCTCTGCCCCTAAGCCCCTCTGCAATTGAACCTCTCTACACCTGAGCTCCTGAGCCCTTCTGTCCCTGAACCTCACTGCCCCTGAAAACTTCTTCCACTCTGCCCCTCTGCCCATGAGCCCCTCTATTACCTACCCCTCTACCCCTGAACCCTGCTACCCCTGAACACCTCTGTCCCTCTACCCCTGATCCCCTAAACACCTTTATCCCTGAACCCTTCTACCCCTGAGCCCCTCTACCCCTGGACCCCTCTACCTCTCTGTCCCTGAACCCCTCTAACCCTGAACCTTTCTGACCCTCTGCTCCTGAGCTACTCTGACCCAGAGACCCTCTGCCCCTCTGCCCTTCTGTCCCTGAGCCCCTGAGCCCCTCTACCCCTCTTACACTCTACCCCTGAACCCCTCTACACCTGAAAACCTATACCACTGAAGCCCTCTACACCTGAACCACTGAGTCCCTCTGCCCTTGAAACCCTCAGCCCCTCTACCCCTAAGCCCTCTACCTCTGGACCCCTGAAATTCTGAACCTCTTGACTCCTCTACCCTTCTACCTCTGAACCCCTCTACTCCTGAACCCTGTACCCCTCTACCCCTCTACCCCTCTACTTCACTACCCCTGAACCATTCATTCTACCCCTCTGCCCCTGAACCCCTGACCCCTCTATCTCTGAATGCCTCTACCCTTCTGCCCCTGAACCACTGAATCCCTCTATGTCTCTACCCATGGACCTGTCTACCCCTGAACCGCTCTCCTCTTAAACCCCTGGGCCCCACTGCCCCTCTGCCCTTCTTCCCCCTGCCCCTCTGCCTCTCTGACCATGAGCCCCTCTTCCCCTAAGCCCCTCTTCCCCTAAGCCCCTCTTCCCCTCTGCACCTGAGCCCTTTTGCCTTTCTGCTCCTATGGGCCTCTACACCTAAGACCCTCTACCCCTCTGCCCCTGAGCCCCTGACCCACCCCTCTGCCCCTTAGTCTCTCTGACCCTGAGGAGCCTCTCTGTCTCTCTGCCCCTAAACCCCTCTACCACTCTGCTGCTTTTCCCCTCTGCCCCTCTTCCCCTCTGCCACTTTACCACTGATCCTGTGACACCCTCTATCCCTGAGCCCTGTACCCCCTTACCTCTCTACCCTGCTATCCTTTAACAATTCTACTCCTGTAGCCCTCTATCCCTGAACCTTCAAACCCCTGAACACCTCTAACCCTCTATCACTGAAACCCTGAAACAATCTACCCCATACCCCTAAACCCCTCTATTCCTGAACCCATGAGCCCCTCTGCCCATGAGCCACTGATCCCCTGAAGCCATAAGCCCGTGAGTCCCTGAGCCCATGAGCTCCTGAGCCCCTGAGCCCCTCTGCCCTTGAAACCCTCTACCCCTCTACTCCTCAAACCCTTTACCCCTTTACCTCTTGACCCCTGAACCACTCTACCACTGAAACCCTCTACTCTTGAACCAATGAGCCCCTCTGCACCTCTGCCCCTGAGCCCCTCTGCCCCTAAGCCCCTCTACCCCTGAGTCCCTCTGCTCAAGGGCATAGGGGCTCAGGAGCAAAGGGGCTCAGGGACAGAGGGATCAGGTGTAGAGGGTTTCAGGGGTATAGGGGTAGAGGCATTGAGGGGTAGAGGGGTTCGTCAGGGGTTCAGGGGTAGAGGGGTAGAATGGTTCAGGGATAGTGGGGTAGAAGAGTAGAGGTATATAGGGTTTAGAGGTAGAAGGGTTCAGAGGTTCAGGGGTAGAGGGTAGGCAGGTCAAGGGGTTCAATAGTTCAGGAGTCTAGAGGTAGAGGGGTTCAGGGGCAGAGGGGCTGAGGGGTTCAGAGGCAGAGAGGCAGAGCGGTTCAGGGGCAGAAGGGTTCAGGGCTTCAGGAGTAGAGGGTTTCAGAGTAGAGGGTTTCAGGGATTCATGGGTAGCGGGAAAGAGGGGCAGAGGTGAGGATTCTCTGGCATAGCGTTTGCCAGGACACAGCTAAGATTAAAGTCCAGACAAGATTGAGCACCCTCTGCAAACAGAATTCTGCCCAGCCCCCAAGAGGAGATACTGGATGCCCTCTACAAACAGAGAATTCCTCCCAGCTTCCCACCTGAGGAGATGCCATGTCTGAACTTTGATCTTAGTTTAAAGATTAAGCTTACCCCTTGTTATGTTGGCAACACTTAAGTATAAGGAAAATATAGTCTTCAGAGATTGAACTTTTTTAGGATGATTGGCTTAAACTAAAAATCCATAGGGAAAGGAAACTAAGAAAGGGGCTTTTCCACAGTGTTAAACTGTAAGAGGACCTCTGCCTCAGCGCTTTTGCTCTTTTTTCAGAATTCATTTACTCATGTCTCTGTCAGGGGCAAAGAGGTTCATAGCTACAGGCAGAGGAGCAGAAGGGCTCAGGGGCAGAGATTCTCAGGGTTAGAGGGGTTCAGGAGTTCATGGGCAGAGGGGTAGAGGATCTAATGGGAAGAGGGGTTCAGGGTTTCTGGGGTAGAGGGACAGAAGGTCAGAGGGGTTCAGGGGCAGAAGGGTTCAGGGATAGATGGGTTTAGGGGTTCAGGGGTAGAGGGGTAGAGGGGCAGAGGGTCTCAGGGACAGAAGGGTCTAGGGACAGAGGGACCCAGGGACAGAGGGACAGAAAGGTTAAGGAGCAGAGGGGCTCAGGAGCTCAGGGGCAGAGGGGCTCAGGTGCAGAGGGTATCAGGGACAGACGGGCAGAGGGTCTCAAGGACCGAGGGGCCCAGGAACAGAGGAACTCAGGAGCAGAGGGGTCAGGTTCAGAGGGGTTCCAGAACAGAAAGTCTCAGGGGCAGAGGGGTAGAGAGGCTCAGGGGTCAAGAAGTTCAGAAGTTCAGGGGTCCAGAGGAAGAGGAGATCAGGGGAAGAGGGGCGGAAGGCTTCAGGGGTTCAGGGGCAGAGGGTTCAGGGATTCAGGAGTAAGGGGGTTCAGGGGTAGAGGGGTTAAGGGATAGAGCGGAAGAGGGATAGAGTGGTAAAGAGGCAAGGGGGTTAAAGGGTTTAGGGTTTTAGGGGTAGAGGGTTTCAGGGGTAGAGAGCTTCAGGGTAAAGGAGTTCAGGCATAGAAGGGTGTAGGGGTAAAGGAGTAGAGGGATAGAGGAGCTCAGAGAATCAGGGGGAAAAGGGGAAACAGGGCAGAGGGCCTCAGGGTCAGAGGGGCTCAGTGGCAGAGGGGCAGAAGGACTCAGGGGCAGAGGGGTTCATGGTTAGTGAATTCAGAGGTTCAGTGGTAGAGGGATAGAGGGATTCTGGGGTCGAGGGGTTCAGGGTTTCAAGTGTAGAGGGACAGAATGGCAGAGGGACAAAGGGGTTCAGGGCCAGAGGGGCTCAGGGGTAGAGTGGTTCAGAGATAGAGGGGTTTAGAAGATCAAGAGTAGAGGAGCAGAGGTGTTCAAGGGTAGTGGTGTTCAGGGTTAGAAGGGTTCAGGGGTAGAGGATCTCAGGGGCTGAGGGGCAGAGAGGCAGAGCGGTTCAGGGGCGGAGGAGCTCAGGGACAAAGGGACAGAAAGGCTCATGGGCAGAGGGGCTCAAAGCTCAGGGGCAGAAGGGCTCAGGGGCTCATGGGAAGAGGGTTTCAGGGGCAGAGGGGCTCAGGCGCTCAGGGGTAAAGGGGTTGAGGGGTAGAGAGGCAGAGGGGCAGAGGTACAGAGGAATAGAGGGACAGAGTGGTAGAGGAGCTCAGGGGCAGAGCGGCTCAGGGGCAGAGGGCCTCAGGGTCAGAGGGGCTTAGGGGCAGAGGGGTTCAGTGTTAGTGGGTTTAAGTTTTCAGGGGCAGAGGGAAAGAGGGGTTGGTTCAAGGGCAGAGGGGCAGAGGAGTTCAGGGAAGGGGGTTTCATGGGTTCAGGGGAGGGGGTCAGGGGTAGAATGTTTCAGGGGTAGAGGGGATCAGGGGTAGAGGGATAGAGGGGAAGAGGGACAGCAGTGTTCAGGGGTAGAGGAGTTCAGGGGTAGCAGGGTTCGGGATAGAGGGGTAGAGGGACTCAGAGGCTTAAGGTCAGAGGGGCTCAGGGGCAGAGTGGTTCAGGGGTAGTAGGGTTCAGGGCTAGAGGGGCTCAGGAGTTCAGGGATAGAGTGACAGAGTGGCAGAGGGGCAGAGAGGTTCACATGCAGAGGGGCTCAGGGGCAGAAGGGCAGAAGTGCTCAGGGGCAGAGTGGCACAGTGGCAGACAGGCAGAGGGACAGAAGGACTCGGGTACAAGAGTAGAGGGCTTCAGGGATAAAGTAGTAGAGGGGTAGATGGGTTCAGGAATAGAGGGTAGAGGGGTTCAGAGATAGATTGGTTCGGGGTAGAGGGAGAGAAAGGTAGAGAAGAAGGATTCATGGGTAGAGGGGTTCAGGGATAGAGTGGTAGAGGAGTTCAGCAGTAGAGATGTAGAGAGGTTCAGAGGTAAAGGGGTAGAAGATTTCAGGGGTAGAGGGTTTCAGGGGTAGAGGGATTTGGGGTATAGGGGTTTGCAGTAGAGGGGGAGAAAGGTAGAAGAGTAGAGGGATTCAGGGGTAGAGGGGTTCAGGGGTAGAGAGGTAGAGGGGTTCAGAGGTAGAGATGTAGAGAGGTTCAGGAGTAGAGGGGTAGAGGGTTTCAGGGGTAGAAGGTTTCAGGTGTAGAGGGGTTTAGGGGTAGATGTTTTCAGGGATTCAGGAGTGCATGGGTAGAGGGGCAGAGGGGTTCAGGGGAAGAGGAATTCATGGGGAGAGATTAGAACGGTTCAGGGGTTGGGTAGAAGGGTACAGGGGTAAAGGAGCTCAGGGATTGAGGGAATCAGGGTTTCAGGGGTAGAGGGCTTCAGGGGTAGAGGGTTTCAAGGGTAGGGGGGTTCAGGGATAGAACAGTTCAGGAGTAGAGGGGTTCAGGGTAAGAGGGGTTCAGGGATTTGGGGTAGAGGGTGTCAGAGATTCATGCGTAGAGGGGCAGAGGAGCAGAGGGGCAGAGTGGCTCAAGGGCAGAAGAATACAGAGGTAGAGGAGTTCAAGGATAGAGGGGTTAAGGGATAGAGGGGAAGGGGTAGAGGGGTTCAGGGATAGAGGAATTCAGGGATAAAGGGATTAAGGAGTTCAGGGGCATAGAGGTTCAGGCGAAGAGGGGTTCAGGGATAGGAGGGCTCAGGGATAGAGGGGTTTAGGGGTAGAGGGGTTTAGGGGTTCAGGGGTAGAGTGGCAGAAGTGTTCAGGGGTAGAGGAGTAGAGAGGCTCAGGGGCTCAGGGGCAAAGGGGCAGAGGGGCTCAGGGATTCAAGAGTAAATGGGTTCAGGGGTAGAGTGTTTCAGGGGTACAGGGGTAGAGTGTTTCTGGGGCTCAGGGGTAGAGGGGTAGTGGGGTAAAGGGGTAGAAGTGTTCAGGGGTAAAGGGGCATAGAGGTTCAGGGGAAAAGGGGCAGAATGGCTTGAGGGTAGAGGGGTCAAGGGATTCAGAAGCTCAAGGATTCAGAGGTAGAGGGGCTCAGGGTTGAGGGGCTCAAAGGCAGAGTGGCAGAGGGGCAGAGAGCAGAGGGGCAGAGGGATAAAGGTACAGAGTTGCTCAGGGGCAGAGGGGCTCAGGAGCAGGTGAGCTCAGGGGCTCAGGGGCAGATGGGCTCAGGAGCTCAGGGGCAGAGGGCCAGAGGAGCACAGTGGCAGAGGGGCTAAGGGACAAATGGGCCCAGGGGCAGAGGGGCTCAGGGGACCAGGAGCTCATAAACTCAGTGCCTAGAGTCTTAGGGGCTCAGGGGGAGAAAGGCAGATGGGCAGAAGGGCTCAGGGGCAGAGGGTCTCAGGGATTCAGCAGCAGAGGGACTCAGGGGCAGAGGGGCAGAGAGGCTCAGGGGTAGAGGGGCTCAGGGACTCTCAGACTCAGGGCCTCTGAGTCTCAAGGGCTCAGGGGAAGAGAGGCAGAGGGTAGAGGGGCAGAGGGGTAGAAGAGCAGAGGGGCAGAGTGGCTGAGGGATAGAGAGGCAGAGGGGCAGAGGGGCAGAGGGTCTCAGGGGTTCAAGAATAGAATGGTTCAGGGACAGAGGGGTAGAGGGTTTCACGGGTTCATGGGTAGAAGGGTGGAGGGGTCAAGGCATTCAGAATCTCAAGGATTCAGAGGTAGAGGAATTCAGGGTCAGTGGGGCTCAGGTGTTCAGGGGAAGAGGGGCTCAAAGGCAGAGAGACAGAGGAGCAGAGTAACTCAGGGGCAGAGAGGCAGAGGGGCTCAGGGGCAGATGGGCTGAGGGGCTAGGGGCAGAAAGGCTCAGGGTAGGGGGCAGAGAGGCCAGCATCAGCAGACCAGAGGGACAAAGAGGCAGAGGGGCTCAGGGCAGAGGGGCTCTGGGGCAGAGGGGCTCAGGTTTTCATGGGAAGAGGAGCAGTAGGACAGAGGGGCTCAGGGACAGAGGGGCTAAGGGGCAAATGAGCAGAGAGGTCAGGGGCTCAGGGGAAGATGGACAGGGAAAGAGAGGCTCAGGGGCAGAGGCATCAGGGGTTCAGGGGCAGAGGGCCTCAGTGGCAGAGGGGGAAGAGGGGCTCAGGAGCTCAGGGATAGAGGGGTTCAGGGGCAGTGGGTCTCAGGGGAAGAGGAGTTCAGGGGCAAAGGGGATCAGGGGCAGAGGGGTTCAGGAGTAGAGAGGCAGAGGGACTGAGGGCCTCAGGGGAAGAGGGGCACAGGGCCAGAGGGGCAGATGGTCAGAGGGTAGTGGGTATCAGGGCCAGTGGGACTCATGGGCAGGGGGACAGAGGAGCAAAGGGGCTCAGGGCAGAGAGACTCAAGGGCATTGGGGCTCAGGTTCCCATGGGAAGAGGAGCAGAGGGACAGAGGAGCTCAGGGGCAGAGGGGCTCAGGGGAAGAGGGGCTTAGGGGCAAAAACAGGCTCAAGGGCACACAAGCAGAGGTCTTCAGGGGCAGAGGGCCTCAGTGGCAGAGGGGACAGAGAGCTTCAGGGGCAGAGGGGCTAAGGGTTTCAGGAACAGAGGGGCTCAGGGGCTCAGGGCTAGAGGGGCTCAGGGGCAGAAGGGCTCAGAGACAGAGAGGGACAGGGGCAGAGCGCACAGGGGCAGATGGGCAGAGAGGCTCAGGGACAGAGGGGAAGAGGTGTCCAATGGCAGAGGGCCTAAAGGGCACAGGGGCTCAGGAGCAGAGGAGTTCAGGTGCAGAGGGGCTCAGGTGCAAAGGGGTTCAAAGACAGAGGGGCAGAGGGTCACAGGGGCAGAGCTTCAGACGGGCTCAGGGTCAGAGGGTCAGAGGGGCTCAGGAGCAGAGTGTCTCAGGGGCAGAGTGTCTTAGGGGTGTATGGGCAGATGGGAAGAAGAGTAGAGGTTCTCAGGGGCTCAGGGGCAGAGGGGTTCAGGAGTAGAGGGGAGTAGGGTTCAGAGGCACTGTGGTTCAGGGCTTCAGGGGTAGAGTGTTTCAGTCAGGGGTTCAAGTGTAGAGGAGTTCAGATGTAGAGGGATTCAGGGGTAGAGGGGTAGAAGTATAGACGGGTTGAGGG